CAACTTTTTGTCTTACTACTCAGTTTGCTCATGGGTTAATTGATTAAATTGTCCAAAGCCTCCAAATACTTGACTCACCTTTGCCTTACGGCAGTTAGATACTTCTGTGTAGAGATAGACAGTGTGTTTATCTTCCAGTCCCCTTGCATGTGTGAAATTCCTCCCGCCCAGGAAAGAAATGTGAGGTAGGGATCTGGGCTGCTTTATCTTTAGAGAAAAAGCAGTGAGCAAATACTATTTGTTTTTCAAATAGCCAAAGGGCCGGGAAGAAGAGTTCCAGGCAAATCTTTTTCTTAATGACACTTACTTGATTCACATTCCAGCTGCCTCCTCCACTTCCTGTGCTTGCCAAGCTTTCAGTTAGGATGATCGTGGCATTAGTATTCTGAGTTCCTCTGGAGTTATTCAAGGGCTAGCATTTGGCCAGCACCCGAAGGTTTTCTTTGTATGAAATGCTAATTTCTTTTATGTACTTATTCTTTTTGTTGAATTTAAAAAATGAAATATTGATATAGTATTAACTATCACACTTTCATTCCCCACCTCTTTAATATTAGTCTGTGTTCCTTCCAGTGACTAGGAAATGAGGTTCCTGGTAAACAGAGTCCTGTGACAGTGGATACACAGCGGTGACAGCTCACAGTTCCTCAGCACTTTCTGCGTAACAGTGACTGTGTAGACCATCTCAAAGACAACGTAGATGATTCTCTTCACCTTTCAGAAGTAGAGAAAGCTTCATGGATATTTCTCTACAGGTCCACTAGCAGAGAGCCCAGGTTGAATCTGGCTTTAAAGAATGCAGGTGACTACTGAGCTATGGAACAAGTAGCAGGACTCGATAATACCCACTCATTCTCAAATACATGTAACATTAAAATTTTTTTATCATAGGCTGTTTCAGTTCACTCACTCTACTTTTTTATTTTTTGGTTTTTTTTCAAGACAGGGTTTCTCTGTGTAGCTACCCTGAATTTGCTTTGTAGACCAGGCTAGCCCCGAACTCACAGAGATCCACCTGCCTCTGCCTCCCTGAGTGCTGGAATAACAGGTGTGCACCACTGTGGCCGGCACTTACTCTACTTTTAACTGCTTTTGGCTCTATGAGCAGACCCATGTTTTGAAAACACCTGAAAGGAAAACCCTCTTAATTCAACACCCCACTGCTGAGCTGCTCCTATGAAGCAAGTGGCAAAGTGTCAATATGTGAGTGTACCTGTGTGTGTGCATATACGTGTGACTGCATGTGTGTGTGAGCATGTGCATGTGTGAGTGTATGTGTGTGTGCGTATAGACAACAGGAAGTGGAGATGTCTAAGAGGAATCCCTCCACCCCAGCTAGAGGAAGAAGCATGTCCACTCAGGCAGGTGTTTGCAATACAGCAAGACAAGCTAGCATCTGAGCTGCAGGATGAAATCTCTAACTTTTATGCACCACTAGGTCACTCAAGAATTATGAAAAAAATATCTGTGAGCCAAGTCAAAGAACTCAGCAGCAGCTGGACTCAGGTCTTCCCCAGGCTAAGTGGCTCATCTCTGTAGCCACATAGCAGCTTCAGCCTGTCCCACACTGTAGATCCTTGTAAAGCCCAGAAATACTGCTATACAATGAATCATGCCGGTACAAGTGTAGCATGTCTGTCTTTCTCCATAGCAGTTATGCGCATTACCTACTGATTAGCACAAACATCAGATTTTATCCAGAGTGGGTTTGCAAGTTCACTAAATCATCTTTGTAATCTTTTCTCTCTACTTTGTTTTGTTTTAAGATAGGACTTCCCTATGAAGTTGAGGCTGGTCTCAAACCTGCAACTTTTCTTTTTCAGTCTCCTTGGTGCTGGGACTCCTGGCATGGATCATCTAAACAATTTTCTACTGTACAGTTTGAGGAAAAAAAAGCCACTAGTTTTAAAAATTAAAATTAGAAATAATCTAGAAATGAGATGCAACCTAATCTTTGGAATGTTGAGATAACAGAGAGGCCATTAGACTGAGGCAATGCTGGTATCCTGAGCATCTCTGAAGAAAATGCAGAGTATAATCATACTCAAGTGTAGCCAATCAGAAAGCACAACTTTTAGTGGCAATTACATGGTTACTGATGCTACTGATTTCTTTCTTGCTTCCTCTAATACCTTGTAAATGTTTTCTCTTGTGCTGCTGGGTGAAACGCTTTTTATCATTCGGAGGCGTGACTCTTGAGTCCCTGTCCACCCAAATAAATAATAGCAGGAGCGTGGGAATATGGAGAGTATGTACAATACACACTTGCATGAAAATGTCCTTATATAACATATTATCATAAACAATGGTTGTGTAGAATGAAATTAAAACAGAAACCAATAGATGTTTAAGGTGATGGAAAAGCTACTTAACCTGATTTGAAGATTCTATATTATACACTTGCACTTACTATATAATTATTTGTTCACTAAAATAAATTACTGTTGTGCATGGTGGCATATGCTTGTAATCCCAGCCCTCAGGACAGGACTGAGGGATCATGAATTTGAGTCCAGCTGAGGCTACATAGGAAGACTCCGTTTCAAAACAAACAAAATTTAAAAAGTAATAAAAAGACCAATGAAATTTTTTACTATGCTCCACTATAATCATTTAACAGGAGTATCAAGCTAACAAGAACTTAAAAAAAACAATCCCTTGAAGCCATCAACATCTGTTAATACAACTTGAATGAGTCCAAGAGAAGAATTTATAAGCAGCAGAAAGAAAATCTTTTTTTTTTTTTTTT